AGGAGTTTGATCTTACAGCTGAAGCCAGGGCTTCACAGCATTTCTCTGTGAGGTCACACCGTTCCACCCTTAGGAAAATCAAACACTTATAAAACCACTTTTTAAACCTGTGCACTGTGTGTCCAATGCAAATAAGCAGAATAGGGGCCAGGGAGGAACAGATCTTTTTAAAATAATTAATTCACTAAAAAGCATTTTAACCTTTGTCTCTGTTTTTAGTGGGGTGTGTAACATATGTTAAAGTCAGCTGTTTAACTCCAATATTACCATTCATTTTATGAAACTGCTTATCCTGTTCAGGGTTGTGGGAGGTCTAGAGCCTATCCCAGATGCTATGGGTGCAAGGCAGGGAACAACCCAGGATGGGGCACCAACCCATTGCAGGGCACACGCACCATTCAGTTACACCTACAGGCAATTCGGTAACTTCAATCTGGTAACTTCAATTAGCCTCAGCATATTTCTGGACTGCAGAGGGGGTGGAGTACCCGGAAAAACCACATGATGACACAAGGAGGGCATGCAAACTCCCCAGGCATGGAAGCCTGGCGGAGACATGAACCCTGGTCCCAGAGGTGTGACGCGACAGTGCTAACAACTGCACCACCATGCTGCCCCCTCCAACATTACCATCAGCTTTTTTTCTTTTAATTGTACTAACCAACAAAAATCTTTTGCATGTGTTAAGAATGAATGGTTGTTTCCTGCTTCGCTGCTTAATTGTTTCTAACCTGGATCAAGTGCTGACAGGTTTGTGAGAAATAAAGTATGAAAAGAAAAAAGAAGCTGTTTGTATGTGTTTAATGTGTTTAATGAAATGCATTATGGTTTTGATGATGCTCAGTCCCTTTTTTTTTTAATGTACTTTCTGTACTCACTTCAACTTTTCCAATTTACATTCGGGATCCTCCAGTACAGCAGAGAGCAGCTTCACTCCTGAGTCTCCTGGGTGATTGAAGTTCAGATCCAGCTCTCTCAGCTGTGAGGGGTTTGACCTCAGAGCTGAAGCCAGGGAAGAACAGCCTCTCTCTGTGATTTTACAGCCTGACAGCCTGCAGAAAGCAAATCAAAACATTGTTTTCTTTGGCCCTGTATTTGCTTGTAATTTGATGTACAACGGAAGTTCATTCTGTTAGCAACCAGCAACAATGGTTGACTCTCGGGTTTAGCAGTTGCTAGACTGAAATGATATATCTCCCTCTAACATAGTGAATGACCACTACCTAATGAAACCCACCTTTTAGTTTGACAATGTGAGTGTGGCCTGCTGCTCACCCCATGTCTCACGCTGTTTGTATCACCCTCGGTTTTATTATCTACTGTGTTTTACAGTGTTTTAATTATGTCATTAGTTTCTATAGTTTTAAATACTTAAGTTCTAAATTAGCTTATGTTAAGAGTTTGAATTATTTTGAATATCCTCAATGTTTTTGCTGCCCTGTTGATTTTACTCCTGTTTTCAGTAGCAAATCTACTTACGCCAAAAGTGATGTGCAACGAACAAACTAATTCATTCTTTAACACTCGTCTTGGTCTTTGAATGAATGTATTGATACAATGACATTAAAGTACAAAATGTTTTCAACACATGTGCCGTGCATACTACATGGTAGATTGTATTGTGTGACAGTTGGGAACTACAGTGCCCTCCACAATTATTGGCACCCCTTGTAAAAATTTGTAAAAAGGGTTAGAAAAAAATCCACCTTTTGGCAAAGCAGCTTCATCTCACACTGAAAAAATGAGAAAAATCCAACCTTTCTGTCACGCCCCGCTCCGTACGATCCTGATGTGTGCCACGCCCCCCTCATTACCTCGTGTGAATCCCCGATTGTGATCCCCTGTGTCCTGTTATGTCTGCCTAGTCTTTTGTATTTAGTCCGAGTCTCAGTCCGTCTTCCCCAGATCCGTCATTGTAGTGTCACGTTAGATGTCCGTGCCTGTCGGTCCCTCCCTTAATAAACCCCGTTACCTGACTTCCTGGCTGCTCTCGTCTACTTCCAAGGCTCGCCTACCGACCGATCGTGACACTTTCATTGAAATAATTTATTCAAAGAAAAACAAATCCTTCATCGAGAAATAATTATTTCCAACAAAAACACATGTGCCACAATTATTGGCACCCCTGCTTTTAATACTTTGTACAACCTCCCTTTGCCAGTATAACAGCACTGAGTCTCCTATAACATTTTATAAGGTTGGAGAATACAGAGCAGGGCATCTGAGTCCATTCCTCTGTACAGAATCTCTCCAGATCATCCAGGGTCCGAGGCCCTCTCTTGTGCACTCTCCTTTTCAGCTCAGCCCACAGGTTTTCAGTGGGGTTCAGGTCAGGGGTCTGAGGTGGCCATGGCAGAAGCTTGGTTCTGCAGTCAGATAACCATTTTTATGTTGATTTGGACATGTGCTTAGGATCACTGTCTGGCTGGAAGATCCAATGAAGGCCCAGTTTTATTTTCCTGGGGGAGGCAGCAAATTCTGATTTAAAATGTCCTCGTATTTCATGGAGTCCATAGTGCCATGTACCCTAACAAGGTTTCCAGGGTTTCTGGAGGAAAAACAGCTCCACAACATCACAGAACCTCCACCATATTTCACAGCTGGGATGAGGTTCAATTCATTATATCCACCCTTCTGTTTAAGCCAAACCCACCTTGAATGTTTATTGCCAAAAAGCTCAATTTTTGTTTCATCAGACCATTGAATTTGATTCCAGTCAAAGTTGTAGTAATGTTTTGCAAAGTCCTGGCACTTACATTTTAAGTAACGGACAGAAAAAGCTTCTTTCTGTCATACCTTTCAAAAAATCTGTTAGCATGAAGGGGGCATCTGATGGTTTTTTCAGAGACGTGGTAACCCCAAGATTTTACTTGGTCTTGTAATTCACCAACAGTCATCCTTGGGGATTTTTTTGCCTCTCTTATGATCTTCCTCACTGTATGTGGCGGCAAAGTAAACTTGGGTCCTCTTCCTGGCAGATTTCTAACAGTTCCAGTTGATGACCACTTTTTAATTATTGCCCTAACAGTAGAAATGGGCATTTTAAGGCGAGTAGCTATTTCTTAATACTCATTCCCTGACTTATGAAGGTCAGCACACTTCTCCCTCATTTGGTCTGTGTGTTCTCTTATCTTTCCCATGTTGATGGATGACTAAGGGAATTTGGTCTCTGTGTCTCCTCATGTTTGTACCACAGTTAATCAGGAAGTCATGGATTACAGCTTGAAGGTCCCTATTCATTTCAATCAACTCACAGATGTATAATTTACATGGGAAACATGCTTCAGTTACATTGTGTTCCCTATAATTTGCAGGGGTGCCAATAATCGTGGCACGTGTTTTTGTTAAAAATAATTATTTCTTGATGAAGGATTTGTTTTTCTTCAATTAAATTAATTTCAATTAAACGTCGTGGATGTCTGCCCTTTCGTACCTAATAAACCCCGGTTACCTGTCTGTCCGGCTCAACTCGCCTGCTTTCCTGCTCGCCTTATCCGCAAGCATGACCGTTGGATTTTTCTCATTTTTTCAATGTGAGATGAAGCTGCTTTGCCAAAAGGTGGATTTTTTTCTAACCCTTTTTACAAATTTTTACAAGGGGTGCCAATAATTGTGGAGGGAACTGTATCATCTTAACTTCAGTTACTGTCTTTGGGAAGTAGCTCATCAGTAAACTATCAGATTTTAGATTTAGTTCAGATTTTGTTCAAGAACATCTACCTTCTGTTTAGAGAGCAATATCATCAACTTGAGCCAGATTAAAATGCAACACAAGGCATAACAAAATGTACAAAAACTTAGTAATTTTATTAAAGCTAATATTTCTATATAAAATATGTTTTGTCTTTATTTTTGCAAATGTTTTATTAGCAATATTGGCTACTTTGCAATGTTAGTTCACACTTGCAAACAACAATTTTGATGGTCAGCTTCTGATGTGCATGCACTGTACGCATGTGTGGGGGGGCGGGATGGTGTGTACTGGGGTGGGGGCAGGCTCCTCCATGTTGCTCAAACAGGAAGTCTAATCAATTCAGTTTTTTATATTGTTCACATTGCTTGGTAGCTAAAGTTACTACAGTCAAACCTCCCTTATCTGGGCACAGTGGGACCAAGGGGTGCCCATAAGTAAGAAATGCCCGTAACTTAGAAATATATGTACAGTATAATGTACATGCACATGTGTACACATATAAACTACATGATATTTATGAAGTGAAAGGCTTATAATAGGATGCTATTTCAGTCTGAGCTAGCAAATCATCCCATTTCTTGCTTTCTCTTGCAACAATGGGCCAGACACTGGAGCAGCTTTAGCTTCCTATTGCTGAAACCATAGGTAACAAGCTTTGTCCAGCTTTTGGAAATGTGCATCTCTAACTATACAACACATCTTAAGATTAGGGCTAGTTGTTACATGCTTCGTGGTTTTTTCTTTACTTTTCCAAATATTGCCTACTGTAGACATAGCCACTCCAAAATGGTCTGTCTGATTTTCCTTGTCATATCTCTGTAATGATATTGAGCTTCTTTTTTGAAGCCAAGGATTTTGCACAGCTGCTGGTTGCGTAAGATTAATTAGTGCATGTGCATGCCTAGAGCTGCATGGTAGAGGTAGGTGCCCTTATATTGGAGGTCTGGATATGGGAGGTTTGACTCTATTCTAGTTCTTCTTGTAGTTTCTAGTGACATCACATCCATGTCTCTCAGTTAATAATAACAGATACTTTATTGATCCTCATGGGGAAATTGTTTACCCTCCCTTAACTTGCTCTTTGTAGAGTAAGTTGTCCACAAAGGGCAGCCACCTGTTGGGGCGCCCAGGGAGCTGGGGGTTAAGGGCCTTGCTCAAGGATCCACAGACGTGCTGAGGCTGGGTTTGAAGCGGCAACCTTGTGATTACAGGCACAGCCCACTGAGCCACACGCTGCCATGTAGCAGCTAAGTGAGTTTACTATTATTTCCCTTACAAAATTTGTAAATTATTTAATTTTAACAGTTCACATGTGGATAATGCCATGGGTCCTGTTCCGTGTTCTGAGTGCAGTATGTTTAGCTATTCCTCCACTATTATTAGTGGTACATTTATTTGTCAGTGTCAGTTACTTGCTAGGCTGATGGAGAAGATTGCAGCATTAGAGGGACGTATCCGGATGGTATGGGAGATTAAGGAGAGTGAGCGCTTTATTGATTCAGTGCTAGTAGCTCTGGATATGTCTGCAATAGTGAGTCAGTCTCCCCCCGCTTCAACAGTCGGGCCTTCGCAGCAAGGCGAGCGAGTGACGACCGGGCGGCATAGTCATAAATGTGAACCTAACTCACACTGGCACCATTTGCCCATTCGCGTTTGCAACATGTTCACTCCACAGAGTGAAACACCCACTGAGATGCCCATTGGAAGCACTCTGGTAATTGGGGAACTGGCGCGCTGCCGCCTGTGGCCGAGGGGCTCCTGGCTCGTGCTCGCCGGTGGGAGGCGCCCGGTGCCTCCCCCCTCTGCCTCCTTTGGTGGACGCGCAACCCCCCGGTGGCAGGCGGCCCGGGTACCTGGCCACTGTGGGGCGGCTGGGTCCATGATCGTTCGGGGCTCCCCTGGCTGTTTGTGGGGCCCCGGGACGGTGTTGTTGTGGCCTCGCACACACGTTGGGAATCATTCCATACTAACCTGCACACTCATACATACACTCACAACACAGAAACAAACACATATGCGCACACACACGTACATATGCACACGCACACACGTTCACACCAACCCACATACATATAGAACGCGCACATACATAGACACGCACACACATACACACGCGCACACACACACACACGCACATACAAGATTCTTGCCCTAATTTATCCCTCTCATCCCTTCTTGTCTGGGTGTGTGTGTGTGTGTGTGTGGGTGGCTTCCATCCTTTCTTCTCAGATGCAGATACTGGTGCGGCGATATCCAGACTGTGTTGCTGTTGGTCTGCTTATGTATTTTTTTCTTTGGTATTAATGTATTTAATTCCAGAAGCAGATACTAGCACAAGCTTATTCTCTGTCATAATGGTACCATTGGTTTCATTGTATGTATACTTTTTGTGTGTGCACCTGGGTCTTGTTTTTCAGATACAGCAGCTGGTGTGATGATACAATATCCAGTACTAAGATGCAGAAGCTGTCCTTTTGTTACTCTTTCCTTTTGCTCTACTTTTTCTTAAGTTATGTATTATTTTTCTTTCCCTGTCTTTCTCTCTCTATCTGACCCCCCCTTTTTTCCTCTCTCTTTTCTTTCTCTTTTTCCTTCTCTTCTTTCTCTCCCTCCTCTCTTCCTCTCTTTATCTCTCCTATTTCAGTTAACTTTCCCTGTCGGCTCCGGCTTAACAGCGCAATAATCTAAAACAGTGAATGAAGAGTATATCTCAAGTAACAAGAGGAGCTTAATCCGAAGCTCCACTTGGCAAAATAAAAGTGTTGGCACAATAAAGCACCCAGACTAACATTCTGCTTGCTAAACTGCCGGGCACGACAAGGGTAAAAAAAGAAAAAAAGAAAAGAAAAAAAAAAAAGAGTGGTCACCTAGGGTTCATGTTATTGAGACCATGTTTGTTCCTCATACTTTTAGTTGTATATGTTTAGTCCAATGTAGTGTAAGTCATAATAACTTAGTAACAATTTGACCAAATTCATTATAGCATAATAAGGACAATGCAAGGCTAAATCTTGGACTTTTGAATGTAAGATCGCTGGCTTCTAGTCTTGGTGCCTTATGTCTTACTGAAACCTGGCTTAAACCAAATGAATTCATGGCACTAAATGAATCTACTCCAGCTGAATACAGTTATAATAATAACCCTCAACCAAATAGTAAAGGTGTTGCTGCAATATTTCAGTCCAACCTAGGACTGTCAAAGAAAAGTGGTTAAAGCTTTAGCACATTTGAAATTAATGTTCTTAGTCTTGCTCCTCATCCCATTGTTTTTCTTCACCTCCAATTATCATTGTTGTTGTACATAGACTGCCTGGTCCCTACAGTAATTTTCTAAAGGAGTTTACTGATTTCTTAACAAACCTGGTGGTTACTATTGACAAAGCTGTGATTGTTGGTGCTTTTAATATGCACATGGAGAATGACAGCTATCTTTAACAACAGTGTTTGCGGCTATTCTTGACTCTGTAGGTGTATGTAATAATGTAGACGGGCCTACCCATGATGGTAACCATACTTTGGATTTGATTCTTAGCTATGGTGTCCTGGTGGAACACATATCTATTATCCATCAGAATCCTCTACTTTCAGATCATTAGTTGTTAACATTTGAAATGCAATATAGCCTCAGCTATAGGCCCCAGCTCTGTAGCACAGTTCCAGTCATTCCACAGCCTCATTATCCACCACAATGTTTTTGACCAACTTCCACAGTCCTTCAAACTTACATCTGAAACCTCAAGTGAAAATGAATTTGAATAGATAACTGTGAACATTGAGGAATCATTTTGCAGCACTCTAGATCTTGTAGCTCCACTTACAGTTTTTCTCAATTGCTTTGGCACATTTCGTGAAACATGCTTAACATTCTCAGGACTATAAGAGCATTACTCAAAACAGTTCATGCATATAGCACAACACTTTGGGTTAGCTGCAAAAGCCTGTATCCTACCAAAAACAATTAACTCATGTCTGAAGAGCAAATAATTCCACCAATGAAACCTGCCCCCCTGGAAAGAGAGCCTAAGTATAGACAAGCACAAGTGACTAATAGGTCTGTGCATTTCTCCAGAGTAATAGAACACAGAACAAAAACAATCCTAAATTACTGTTTGAATCCGTGTCTAGGTTAACACATAATTCTTCAACATTAAACTCGCAAGTCTCACAAGCTCTTAAGAGTGATTACTTTCTTACATTTTTTAATGGTAAAATAACTAAGATTAGACAGACCATCCAGTGCACGTCTGTAGCTACAACCCTGTTAAATGTGTTAGACTCGTCTCTTAGGCTTGGATATGTTCCAAAACCCTTTCAAATTGCTGTTATTAGACCCGTCCTAAAGAAACCAAACATTGAACTTAGTGATTTAGGAAATTATAGACCAATCTCAAATCTTCCTCTCATTTGAAAGATCCTGGAAGAAGTTATTATTCATCAGCCATCTTTTCTACAGAAAAATAATTCTAATGAATTATATCAGTCTGACTGTAGACCAAACCATAGCCCAGAAACAGCTTTAATCAAAATAATGAATGATTTTGCTTATGGTTTCTGACCGTGGCTGTATATCTTTATTGGTGTTACTAGATCTAACAAGCATTCGATACTCTGGACCATGATTTTCTCTTGGACCGACTATAATCTATGGTTGGTATTAAAGAGACTCGAATCCTAAAAAGTTCGAGTTCTGATCGAATTTTCCCCATAAGAAACAATGGAAAACCAATTAATTGGTTCCTGGCCCCAAAAATTTACACCTAAATATGTTTTTTTTTTTTTTAACATTTAAACACAAAATGAACAGGATAAAACAAGAAGAGCATATACTAAACACATTTTCGCAATTTCTCGGAAACACTGCACCAACACTGTACTGCGTAACATTTTTTTCTTAATGGCCTCCAAAACAATAAAGAATGTATCCCACCACTACCCCAAGCCATGCCCCAACACTGCGCCAACACTAGATTACGCCATGCGGTCCATTGTTTATATTTATTATTACTCTGTATTCGTTAATTTGTTCGTAAATCGCAAACTTTTAGGTTGTAACATTTATACAACTATTGCATAACTTTTTAGTGAGCAATGGCTACCAAAATGATATAAAGTACAGTGTATTACCTGCTACTTTCATTAAAAAATCACTATCACCAACAAACGATGCTATCACAGCGAATGTGAGGCTGAGACTGAAGCGTTACCCTTTGTTTCTGCTGAGAGACGTGCTGCGTGACTCATTTCCCCCGCGTACAAGTTATTTTAGGTCGGCGTTCACGGCTCCACTTCTGAGATTCAGATCGAATTGGGTCATTTTTAAGAAATTCGAGTTCTAATGAGTTCGAGGCCTGAGAAGCAGCGATTCTATTATGAGACTCTCCTGGATATCCGAACTTCTCACCTTATCTCTAAGGGAGAGCCTAGACACCCTGAGGAGAAACCGCATTTCAGCTGCCTGTATTCGCGATCTCATTCTTTTGGTCATTACCCATAGCTCATGACCATAGGTGAGGGTAGGGACAAAGATGGGAACATGGACCGACTTATTACCGGCAATGCGGACCAAGCTTCTGGTCCATTCATACAGGGACCGAATCGTGGCACCTTGGGGGTTTTACCTAAGCAAACCAGGATTAACTCATCTTCATATTATTCAAAAAGCTGCCGCCAGGCTCCTAACACGCTCCCATATTTGAACTCACATCTTTCCTATTTTATACTCTCTGCACTGGCTCCCAGTGAAAATCAGGATACATTATGAAATTGTCATCCTCACCTACAGAGTCCTGCATGGTCAGGCTCCATTACACATTGTGGACCTCCTGGAGCACCCAAAAAGGCCTTCTGTCTGTCCCTTGCTCCAGGCTGAAGACACTCAGGGATCGCACATTTTAATCTGTGGCTCCCAGACTGTGGAACAGTCTTCCACCCGCATAAGAACAGTTTAAGGCCAGCTAAATACTTACCTGTTTAAACAGGCCTTTGGATAGCTTCTGTTAGAATATTCTATTTTATTTGATATTCTGTACTTTAACTTTTATGACATTTTATTTCATTTTATTGTTCAGCACTTCTGACATCTGCTTGTGAAAAGAGCTTTATAAATAAACTTTACGTACTTCATCTTCCCTGTCTCTTGCCTCCCTGTCACCCTTGTCTCCTCTGTCTCTTGCCTCCTGTCCTTCACTTTCTATGTCTCTCGCATCCAAGAGATGCCGGCCCAGACAGAGAAGGTTGCGAGCCACCATGAACTTTCCTTTTCATACTGTCATTCTTATTTTCTAATAAAGTCTCACTGAAGTTCAGTCCAGTCACCTACCCCATTGCCTGTGTGTCATTAAACTCACACCATGCTACACCACAATAAAACTGTCCACTGCTTGAAACAACTGGAATAATCTGTTGAAACTGAAATTACAGTAAAAGTACAAATAATTTCTCTACAGAAAGACAGATGAACGATATTTCCAATAAATTAGATGATCTCACCATTACAAGTATTACTTTTAAATAACATTTACAGTGTGGAATGCCCAATAATACTGAGCCAAGTATCTCCAATTTACAGTGTGTAATACCCAGTAATACTGACCTCAGTATCTCCAGTCTACAGTGTGGTGTACCCAGTAATACTGACCTTAGTATCTCCAATTTACAGTATGAATCTCCCAGTCCAGCAGAGAGCAGCTTCACTCCTGAATCCTGCAGGTCATTGTCACTCAGGTCCAGCTCTCTCAGGGGTGAGGAGTTTGATCTGAGAGCTGAAGCCAGCGAATCACAGCATTTCTCTGTGAGTTTACAGCTGTTCAGCCTGCAAAAGGACCTGTGTTATTACACACATACAGACCGGTATATATCCTACACATTAGTGATCATACAGGCACAAAATATCCAAACAAATGTTTTTTCAGCGTAATTAGAGGCACATCCTATACTTCAAAAAATTCAGCAGTACCTTAAATTACTATAGTTAGAAAAATGATTACATTTTTAATCTTGGCCAATCCTCTGATTGTTCTCATGTTCTCTGTCATGAAGAATACAGTGAGAATTTTCAGTTCAAAGCACAATTATCCTCAAAGGTTTTGTGTGCAGATCATTCAGGAACTGGATCAGTCTACTCAAATGTGCAGGTGTTGGCACGATACAGGTTCTACTGTGAGTTTACTGCGTATTTTGGGCATTTTTTGTAGTTATATGATCATCAACAGTGAGGAAGTTTATCATAGGTTAAAAATGTATATTTTCATTTTCAGAAGGCCCATATTTTCAATAATGATGTGTACAATTTATATTGCATTGCCTTCCAGAGTCAGTTTTAATGAGGCCATAATTGTGTATATGTATTCAATTCGATTTAATTTTATTTGCACGTTTTCGCATTACATTCTCTCAAAGCACCTTACATTATCCCTGCCCAAAGCCCCCAGTGAGCAAGCCAGAGGTGACAGTGGCAAGGAAAAACTCCCTAGAAGGAAGAAACCTTGGGAGGAACCAGACTAAAAGCGGGATCCCATCCTCCAGGGGGTGACAGAGGAAGTCAAATGGGAAAGATGGCGAAGTCCCAATTCACACTGTCCCAATCTTAAGACATTTGAGTCTCAAAGTGGGGGACAGGCAGGTGATGGCAGGCAGTTGCTGGTTCAGATGGCAGGATGAAGAGTGGTACAGCAGCTGGGAATACAGGGAAGACGTCAAAGGCGAACCACCCCAGAGTACGCTGGAGGTCCCCAGCAGATGAAGCCAACAGGATGACATTGTCCGCAAAAAGCAGCAAGGCAATCCTGAGACCACCAAACTGGACACCCTCAACAGCCTGGCTGCACCTACTGTAGAAACCCTGTCCATAAATATTATAAACAGGACTGATGACAAAAGGCAGCCCTGGCAGAGCCCAACACGCACTGGGAACATGACCGACTTATTACCGGCAATGCGGACCAAGCTTCTGCTCCATTCATACAGGGACTGAATCGTGACACCTTGGGGGTTTTACCTAAGCAAACTTGGATTAACTCATCTTCATATCGTTGACCGTGTATCTTTCTCGTGTATTTCAGTTTATATCTTGCTGAAATCATTATGTATAATCATGAAAAAAACACTGACTAAATCCATAATTGGTCTTCTTTTCAAAACTTCAATTTTCGGAAACTGTTATTTGCACAATTGACTATATATCGTTACCATTTGCACTTTGTCGATATGTTTCTGGCCTTGTCACTTGGTCCTGTGTCTTGTTATCTGTCTTTTTGTATAAAATGTCTATAATTTTGTAATTGGATGGTACGGCACACCCAGGGTACACACACCAGTGAGCGAGAAACGGCATTTCGGTTCTCATGTATGTCTTGCACATAAAATGTGAATTGACAATAAAATATCTTTGATCGTTTTTTTGATCTTTGTTTCAAACTGTCTTTCCAAAGTGATGGGTGTGTGGTGCAGTGACATTCCAGACTGATGGGCCATTGACAATATGCAATATGTTTTAAAAATGCAGATTTAAAAATATAGAGTGGTCTCAATTTTTTTCCACAGCTGTATATATAACTGTGTATCATCAGCATAACAATGAAACCTAACACCATGATTTCTAATTATGTTACCAAGTGGTAGCATATATAAAGTGAACAGTAGAGGGCCCAGCACTGATCCCTGTGGGACACCATATGTGACTTTAGTGGGCTTGGAAGATTCATTGTTCACATGTGCAACCTGATGATGATCAGTTAAATAAGAGCGAAACCAAGAGAGAGCTGTCTCTCCATAGATTTTACCCAGTCCAAGAGAATATTATGGTCCACAGTATCAAATGCTTGTTAGATCTAGTAACACCAACAAATATATATACTGTACAGCCACGGTCAGAAGCCATAAGCAAAATCATTCATTACATCAATTAAAGCTGTTTCTGTGCTATGGTTTGGTCTTCAGTCAGATTGATATAATTCATTAACATTATTTTTCTGTAGGAAAGATGGCTGATGAATACTAACTACTTCTAGGATTTTTGAAATGAAAGGAAGATTTAAAATTGGTCTATAATTTCCTAAATCACTAGGTTTAAGATTTGGTTTCTTTAGAACAGGTCTAATAACAGCTAGTTTAAAAGGTTTTGAAACATATCCAAGCCTAAGAGAGGAGTCTAACACATTTAACCCTCTGGGGTCGAGTGCATTGTCGATGATGCAGCATATTTTTTGCGTCTATTTCAGTTTATATCTTGCTGAAATCTTTATGTAGAATCATGAAAAAAACACTGACTAAATCCGTAATCTGTCTTCTTTTCAAAACTATTGTCAGAAGTATTAAAGTTTTTAAAATTAGGTTAAATCGGCAAAAAAGTAAACCATGTCACCTTACTTTGTTTTACCTGCATCAGGGGCGTGTAGTGCCGCCCTCACCTGAAGATCGCTATTCGCATCCTAAATAGCCGCATTACCGCATATTCAAATCGCATTCGCATGGTAATTTGATGAACAGCGCAGCGGTGAAACTCGATCCAGATACATCCCCATCAGCGTCATAAAAGGGGGGGGGGGGTATGGAAGTAAATCTGTCTCATCACAATTTGAATTTTATATGCCACTGAAATTCTAACATTGAATATTTATGCATTGGAAATATGCATCAGATTTTTTTTCCCTCTGAATTAAAGTCTTCAAATTTTCTATAATGCAGTTTCACTGCTATTTTTCCATGTTCGTGGAATTCCCTCGTGGAATTGGAGTGCTGACATTTCAGGGACTCTCCATGCCTGCATTCCCACCTGCCTCTCCCTCCTACTTATGCTGCCATAGCCATATCTGCCGGAGCTTGCACATTGCACTTCATATTGCACTCACCTAACTGTTTGAACTGCCTCTAGTCTCCCCTACTTTGGGTAATTGTACATTTTATTTCCCCTACTCTTCTTAGGCTGTGCTGCCTGGAGACCACACAATAAGAAGATATGGAGTACCTCAGCCCTTATGTTGAACTTAATCCGGGTGAGTGAACGCTGGCGCGTTTGGCTGCCGCTGCTCTCCGGTTGTTGTATTGGAACTTTTAAAAGTTGCTCTTAAAGTTATTTTATGACAACAAACGAAGTTTCTGCGAGTGATTCCATCCTGAATCATTTTTTATACAGTTTACGGGTTATTAGTAGTCGTGTCGAAGCTGTCTGGACAGACTTCTGCTTACCCCCATCTACATCGGGCTTTCTCCAGCCTCCAGCATTTAATGCCCGTTCCCTTGTAAGATGTGGATTCATAGGGTGTGTGTGTGGTCCGTACTTACCTGGACTGTTTTATTCATCATTCACCGCTCTACGACAGCACTGCTTCAGTACTCTATTACTGAGCTTTTGCAGCTCCGTGTCCACCTGGCCGTCCCTCCACCTGTGGCGCTTCACCTCCACCCGGACATCGCTTTCAAGCCTCGCCACAGATATGTCCACCAAGGGTCCCGGAGGAAATTCAGCTACGACTACACTAACCCGATAAAATCCATCTGGTCATCAACTCGCCGTTATCCTCGCAATACCACCCGGGATGCTACCCACAATGCGTTAGCTCGCCTAACCGGATCGGCTAATCCTACAGTCAAGCAGGCTAACTGCAGCGTCAACTTCAGATTATTAAACATCCGCTCTCTGACTGGTAAGGGGCATCTCGTCCAGGATCTCCTCTCTGAGCGTAAGTTTGATTTTCTATGTTTGACTGAAACGTGGCAACAGCATAATGATTTTGCTTCCCTCAACGACTCCATTGTTTATGTTTGCCAACCTCGTGACTTGAGGCGGGGCGGAGGTCTTGCGATGATTCATCGGAAGCAGTGGAAACTGTCTCCCTGTCACCCTGTCTCCGCCCCACTCTTCTGTTCGTTTGAATACATTGCATTACAGCTCGCGGGATCCACTCCAACTATTATATGCACTGTTTATCGACCACCTAAGCCAAATAAGGATTTTTTAAAATGACATTACTGCTCTTATTACTCATTTTTCGGTACTCTCTCCCAATATTATAATCCTTGGTGACTTCAACATTCATATGGACAATGACAATAACCTCCTCTCCAGAGATTTTACATCTTGTCTGGATAGCTTTGGACTTCAGCAACATATTAACTTCCCTACTCACTGCAAAGGCCATATCCTAGACCTGGTTTGCTGTTCTGGTGTCACCCCCTCTGACTGCAAAGCCAATCTGTTCCCGCTCTCCATTCATCTGCTTATTACCTTCAATATAAATGTAACACTTTCCAAGATTTCCACTCCACGTAATACTGCATTTAGGAAAATGAGTAATATTAATCCTGACATCTTTTCATCTGCTGTAAATGACCTCCCTTGTACCCATAGCATATCTACCCCTGATGAACTGGTCTCACACTACAATTCCAATCTCCATAACCTACTTAATACATTTGCTCCAGTCAAACTTCGATCAGTCTCATTCACCCGCTCAGCTCCATGGTTCACTCCTACCTTGCGCCATCTTAAAGCTAAAGGATGCCAACTGGAACGCCTCTTCAAGAAAACTGGACTCACCATACACAAAGAACTGTACAATAATCATTTTCTGCTTTATAAGAACTGCATTGCCTCAGCCAAATCCACATACTACTCTGGTTTAATCTCCTCTAGTGAATGTAACCCTAAGTCTCTCTTTTCTCTGTTTATTAATATTACTAGGGCTCCGGACTTTTTTCCCTCCCATATGTATTCGACTGATTTTTGTAATTCCCTCGTCTTTTTTTACATCAAAAATTTCTGATATCCACCAGCAACTTAATTCTAATGGAGCTGTAGCTCCTGAAGCAAACTCCCTGCTCCCTTTTCAGTTCCCCTGTCAGTCATTTGCAAGCTTCACTCTCCCTTGCATAAATGACATATCTGGAATTATTCAAAAATCTAAATCGTCCACCTGTCAGCTCGACCCTCTACCCACTACTCTAGTTAAAACTTGTCTCCCCTCTCTGGCCCCCCTCATTACCACCGTTATCCACTATTCCCTTAAGACTGGAATTGTCCCTCCATCACTCAAAACTGCTTCCGTTACTCCAATTCTTACAAAACCAGGTGCAGATCCCAATAACTTCGATAACCTTCGTCCTATATCAAACCTCCCTTTTATTTAAAAAATTCTGGAGAAAGTTGTTGCCTCCCAGCTTCACACACACCTCAGTAACCATAATCTGCATCAGCTCCAATAGCTACGACTTGCGTGCCTCCAAGTGGTTGCCTTTATATGTCCCCCAGGTCCTGACAGACCTTGGCAAAACAGCATTTTCTTATTACGCACCATGGTCATGGAACAACCTTCAAAAAATTCTTAAATTGCAAAAACTAATATCTTTAAAGGATTTTAAGATCATCATAAATAGTACAGTGACTGAGGAATGTCAATGTTTTGCTTGAGAAGCCACTGTATAAAAACAATTGTTCTTCTGTTTTACGGTTTAATGTTTTATTGTCATGTATATGTTTATGTTTTGTATGGCTGCTACCTTGGCCAGGTCTCTCTTGTAAAAGAGATTTTATATCTCAATGGGACTTCCTGGTAAAATAAAGGTAAATAAAATAAATAAAATAATCTCTATGAACAATTCCAGTCCGGTTTTCACCCCCTCCATAGTACAGAAACAGCATTACTAAAAGTCACCAATGACCTCCTGATGGCAGCTGATTCTGGCCTTCTCACCATTCTCATCCTCCTAGATCTGACCGCAGCCTTTGACACTATTTCTCACAACACTCTTCTGAATAGATTATCATCCATTGGCATCAGTCATACTCCCCTTGCTTGGTTCACCTCATATCTCTCTGGCCACACTCAGTTTATCCAACTCAACTCTTACTCCTATATCTCCTCTAAACCTAGCTGCTCCTTTCCACCATCTTCCCTCTCAGACTGTCTAATGGATATTAAATCATGGTTTTCCTCTAACTTTCTCAAACTCAATAGCAATAAAACTGAAGTTCTACTCGTTGGTACAACTTCCACTCTAACTAAATCCCACAGTTTCTCCATCAACATTGATAATTCCGCTATACACCCCTCCACCCAGGTTAAGAGTCTGGGCGTCATCCTAGATAGTACTCTTTCATTTCAGTCACACATTAATCACATCACCCGGTACACATACTTCCATCTTCGCAACATAAACCGACTCTGTCCATTCCTCACTCCCCATGCTGCTGCTGCCATCCTTGTTCATAGCCTCATCACATCTAGGATTGATTATTGTAACTCTCTTCTCTTTGGTCTCCCTAACAAGTCCCTCCGTAAACTCCAACTCCTTCAGAACGCTGCAGCTCGGGTAGTAACTTGTACCCCCTCTAGGGAACATATCACCCCAGTCCTTCAACAGCTTCACTGGTTGCCCATACAAACTAGAATAGTATTCAAAATTCTAGTTCTCACTTTCAAATGCATTTACAAGCTCGCCCCTCCCTATCTATCTGGCCTGCTTCACATTGCCACCCCATCCCGATCTCTCAGATCTTCATCTTCCACCCATCTTATTGTTCCCTCTGCCCGCCTCATCACCATAGGACACAGAGCTTTTAGTCACTCTGCTCCCCATCTTTGGAACTCACTTCCGCCGGATATCAGAAATATCGATTCTCTTCACTTGTTTAAGTGAAAACTCAAAATCCATCTGTTTAAGTTGGCTTACTCGCTTTAGACCTATTGTTGTCTGATTATGTAAATAACTCTTTTTAATTATTTGTTTTTATTGTTTGTCTTTTACGGACTATGTAAGGTGACCTTCGGTTTTAGAAAGGCACCCACAAATAAAATGCATTATTATTATTATCCTGCCTACCCTGCTGCCTGCAATGCCTGTACTATCTGTGGCTTTTTTCCATCCTGCTTGCCCTTCTGTCTGTGACACCTCTCCTGCATGCCCTGCTACTGTACCATTGTTCATCCTGCCACCAGAAGCAGCACCAGCACCTGCCTGCCCCCCGCTTTGAGACTCAAATTTTTAAATTCGGATAGTGTGAATTGGGACTTTGCCATCTTGCTCATTTGACTCTCCCTGCCGGCCCCTGGAGGATGGGCTCCCCCTTTGAGTCTGCTCCCTCCCAAGGTTTCTTCCTTCTAGGGAGTTTTTCCTTGCCACTGTTGCCTCTGGCTTGTTCACTGGGGGCTTTGGATCATGGGGATAATGCAAAGCACGTTGAGAAAATGTAATGCTGTGAAAATGCCCTATACAAATAAAATTTTATTGAATTTAATTTAGTTAAACCATTAAAGAAATGGTAAAATATGGATAATTCGCATAAACTCGCAAAAAAATGTTTTGTTGAAATAAACGGTTTGTTTTTTGTACAGAGCAACTGACATTAGGCATACCTGAACAATTTAAGTATTAATATTAGGTAATTTGCTACTGAGATTTGTTGATTTTTCCCAAATAGGTAGTCAAAAATCAACTTTCACCTTTACTGTAGGTAACCCACAATAAACAATCAATTTGTATGATATGTGTCTTTGCTAATTTTTTTAGTTTCGTCATTTTTTCTGATCTCAGTAATGCTTTCCCTGGATTTGATTAAATACTTTTGTTTATTATAAAAATGAATCACAACACAACAAAACTGATTAACTACCCCAGAGGCAAAATCGACAGGTTAGACAATGAAGTCGAATAATTTGTGCCTATTTAAAAATGAGAGAAAACCAACATGTTACATTACAACATGAGTTTGTGATAGTGACCCATATACTGCCATTTGTGTTAATTCTACATTAATTTCAATGTGAAAATATTTATGATTATAAGGTTTAATTTTTATAATTTTAGCACAGGTATCGGAAAAAAACAAAATGATACCCAGCCCTAGTACTATGACGAAAAACATATTGGCTTTGTCCCATTTACACCACTTAAGGGCAAGAACACTGAGGTACTACACATTGTGGTGACATATGTTGACACAAGACACAAAGTGCGCAAGTGCATGTTAAGAGCCCAAGTGTGTAAGAATTTCTTGAAAGCAACGGGACACACTTATTATCTGAAGAGCTGAAGAAGGAACATGCTACATTGTCATTTATGTTGGTTTGGGGCTGTCTGTCACTGTAGCCTAGGCCATGCAAACATTCAGCAATTTTGCGTATTTCAATTCAAACTTCTTTGGACTTGGATTAGTGGCAGACTTCCTTGTGTTCGATAGAAATATTAATCACTGTCACTGATGCGGTGCATTGTGGTTGAAATACTTAGCCAAAGATCATTACCATGCAGTGTTTGCCAATGTGTGAATGAAATGTACTTCAAGCACACTGTACTTGGCTTATTTGAGGAATGGGACATCATTGAATACTTCTGCTATGTACATGAATGCACATGCCACCTATGGTCGTGTGCAAGTGTGGGCTAAGTGTGGTAAAGCTATTCTATTTTCTTCCACTGATGCCAGTAGAGGCCATCAGTAAGCAGCCAGCTACAGCAGTCTTCTGGAAGCTCCCAGTTCTGGGCTCCACTACATGAATACACCTGCTGACAATAACACTCACAAACCATCAGAGGGCCAAATTCCATTAGCGATTCAAAGCCAAGTGAGGGAGGGGGTATAGAGGTCCCTCTCAGTAGATTTTACCCATGGGGGAGCGTCTATGGAGGCAGTCTGATGTGTTCCGAATTAAACTGTGTTTCAGTCCTGATTTGGGCTGCAGTCTGCCAAATGGGTGTCCCTGCTCTGAACAAAGAGCCCTCCCTGTTTCTGTAGCAGGTTAGGAGGCTACCCTACATCACTACCCTCAGCCATTATAAAATCTGTGTTCCAGATTATAAAAAAAAAATCCATCTTGGTTATTAACCCATGAGAAGGAATAAACTGTATATTTTATACATTTCAAACAATGTACATGTAAAACTGCCAAACCAGACATTTTTTTCACATCCTCACATCACTTACAGAGCTGTCCTCGATGTCTTGACCACAGGCAGCAGCCTCCAGTGCTCTTTATCTGATCTGATGAATTTTTTCAGATCAAACACATCCAGTTCCTCATCTGACATCAGCATCATAAAGGCCAGAGCTGAATACTGTGCAGGTGAGAGGTCTTCTGAATTCAGGTATCTTTGCACTTCCTCTACTAGAGAATTATCACCCAGTTCATTCAAACAGTGGAAAAGGTTGATGGTCCTTTCTGGAGATAAATTCTCCTGTATTTTCTCCTTGATGTATTGAGTTGTTTCCTTAATGGCATCTGAGCTGGTTCCTGTCTGTCCCAGTAGCCTTTGTAATAGAGTTTTACTGGAGTCTGTTGAGAGGCCCAGGAGGAAGCGGAGGTAGAGGTCCAAATGTCCATTTTTGCTCTTTAATGCCTCATCCACTGCAGTCTTCAGCAGGTCAGCTGTTGAGTTTGATAGAAACATATATAAAGCAGCAAGATACTCCTGGATGCTCAGATGCACAAAGCAGTACACCTTCTCCTGGTACAACCCATACTCCTCTTTAAAGACTTCTGTGCACACTCCAGAGTAAACTGAAGCTTCAGTGACACCAATGTCATTCTCTGTCAGATCTTGCTCATAAAATATGAGAAAGCCTTTCTGAAGGTTATGAAGAGCCAGTTTACCAAGTTTTAAAAGAAATTCCTTGGCAGATTCAGGGCATTTACTAAGCTTGGAATGATGTTTTTTCAGGTACTTGTCATTTTTTAAACTTGTCTGAAATATCAGGAAGTGTGTGTACATTTCAGTCAGAGTCTTTGGAATTTCTCCACCATCAGTCTCACTGAAAAGCATCTCAAGGACAGTAGCTGAAATCCAGCAGAAAACAGGTATGTGGCACATGATGAACAGGCTCCGTGATAATTTCACATGTGTGATAATCCTGCTGGCCAGGCTCTGATCACTAAACCTCCTCCTGAAATACTCCTCCTTCTGGGCATCACTGAATCCTCGTATCTCTGTCACCCGGTGGAAACACTTAGGAGGTATCTGAGTGGCTGCTCCTGGCCGGGAGGTTATCCAGAGGAGAGCAGATGGGAGCAGATTCCCTTTAATGAGGTTAGTCAACAGCACATCCAGTGACATTTTCTTTGTTACATCACACCAGTTCTCACTGTTCTGAAAATCTACAGGAAGGCGACACTCATCTAGACCATCAAAGATGAACACGATTTTGTACCTAAACAGCTCAGATGATTTAAATAATTTCAGATCTGGGACAAAGTGGTGAAGTAGTTCAATCAGACTGTATTCATCCTTAATCAAATTCAGGTCCCTGAAAGGAAGAGCAAATACGAAGTGAACATCCTGGTTTGCTTTTCCTTCTGCCCAGTCTAGAATAAATTTATGCACAGAGACTGTTTTCCCGATACCTGCAACCCCTTTAGTGAGTACAGTTCTGATAGGTGTCTCACGCCCACATAAGGGTTTAAATATATCATTGCACTTGACTGTAGTATCTTCTGTTCGCCTTTTCTTGGATGCTGTTTCAATCTGTCTCACTTCATGTTCATCATTGACTCCAGTTCCACCTTCAGTTATGAAGAGTTCTGTGTAAATCTCATTGAGAAGTGTTGGCTGTCCTTCCTTAGCTTTCCCCTCAAACACACTCTCGAATTTCTTCTTCAGGTTACATTTTATTCTGTGCTGACATTGCATGAGCATTTTCTGACATTGCATGAGCTTCCCTGAAAAGAAATAGGCGGAAAATGCATTAATTCTCATCACGATCCTGACGAATATAAGAGGAAGAATATTAAAATTCTCTCTCTCTCTCTCTCACACACACACACACACACACACACACACTTTTCACTATGATAGATGAAACTTTAAATTTCACATCATACATGAACTGTATGAACATTACTGAAACACCACATACATGTACAGACTGGCATAAAGCTCTTACTCTTCTCCAGCATATCAGCAAGATCATCTTGTTTCATGTTCCTCAGAATGTACAGTGTGATCTTCAGAGCTCCCTCTCTACCACAGGTGTTCTGCATATGACCATCACTCTCCAGGTCATTGTCCTCCTCCAGCTGAGGCTCAGAGCATTCTGGGTAATTCTGACCTAGATACCTTGTGATCTCCTTCAGCTCATCCTTCAGGAACTTTACAGCATTTTCCTCTAGTGACTAGAACAAACAGTCACAGTTAATTATTGCTACTTGCACCAAAGCTTCTAATAGTTTCATTAGTGAAAAATACTTTTAAACATCTTTCCTTTTACATAAAGTTTTTAATTGCACAGTTATAGTAAATGGAATATTCACAGAACTAATATGAAAATATATATCAGCAATAAATGCATACCTTCAATATGGAAGATAAACCCACTTTATCAAGTAGATCTGAACTGCATTCTTCAATTTGGTCTCTGTGAATAATGCAGAAAGAAAGACCTCAATATATCTACACAAATGTAATAGAAAAACTGCAAAAGTCCCCATTTAGAATTATTGCTACAGAGGATGAATAACCTTTTTTATTTTTAATTGAATTGATTTAAAATACCACTTTAGGCTGCATTTACTACAATTAGAATTAGAATTACAAGCCGTTTATTGTCATTATACCATTGTAGGATCACACATGCACATATCACAGGGCCTAAATTCCAGGTGGCCTGAGACAAGGCCGAGCCTGGTACGAGAGGCACCAAAGGGGGGTTACACACACAAACACACACAGATAACAAGGGAGGCCAGCACTCCAACTTTTATTGCCCAAAGATTTAGGGACCTACAGACAAGCAGAGTGGACCTAATGGACAGGGGTCCCTCGACTTGG